GATTCTCTAGCGAATGGATTTTATTAATAAGTGGACTCAGCCAAATGGTGAATGGGTACTATTGGAAGAGGCTAAGAAGATGTGATATGTTTCTGTGATATTGAACCAGAAATATCTCGCCTTATTCTAATTTAATCTTTCTCATGGTTTTCGAATAACTTGGGGTTTCACAATATGTTTATCTTAAGTCATCAATAATAATCAATAAATAATAGTAATCTTCAAATAAATATTAAAAAAAATTTTGCTTTTGAAAAGAGACGATTTTTATATACATATATATGTTCATGTAATTGTAGCATCAAAAATTTTAATCTCATATGTTACTGTTCAGATAAAACATAAATTAGCTGATAGGCTGATAAGCATTTTTTTCCAATTTAATTGTCACAAATATATTTCTTTTTATATTCTATCCTTCCATATGATAAAATATACTCATGTGGTACTTCGGATAAGATAGCCATTGATCCGACATAGGTTATGTAGTGAATTACTTTAATTAACATTAAATATCACTTGCTTTAAATAATTTGATTTTTAATAAAAAAATTATTTTTTTAAACAATTTATTTTCTTTGAAGCCATTAAAAAAGTTTTTTTGTGAAAAGCACTCTTCGAAAATACATTTTATGAGTTCACTGGGAAACTTTTTTTCGATTAATTTTTCTTCTTTGAATTTTTTAATTTTCTAATTTTAATTACCTTCTCATTTTTACATTCGATAAGTTCACTCATTTTTTTCTAATTAACAATAAATTGAATGATTTTCTTAAGTGGTTTATCTTAAGTGGTTGTAGGCACGGTTAGTTTTCCTTGATAGGGATAAACTTGTGGCATTAGAAATGAAATCCGAGTAGCTGCTGCAGTTCGGCTTCAAATTCTATTCCCAAGCGATTCTTGGAAGAATTTGCTCGATTAGTGAATGAGATGGGGTATTCGATCGCCGTTAGGCAAAGAGGAAATTAATGATTAAGGAAATTTTACTAAGGTGTATTTTTTGCATTATAGCGTTGATAATCCTACTCTTTATGTATTTAAAAGATTTAGAAAAATTATTTTCGAGGAAGAATTGTGTTTATAATAAATTATCTTAAATTAGAACATAAATATATTTATAAATTAAAAAAATAGTTTTTTTGCTGATCGAAAGACTTGCTGCTTCGTTAAAGTATCATGAATATTCTTTTCATGAAAATAATTTCGTAATATAATATGAAATCTTTATGATGCTGGCAATACAGTTGTACTTCTATATCCAAGTAGCTCCCTTGCCTAATCAATTAGGGGCTCAGCCAAAGCAGAAATACTGAATGCTACAAGATTGATATGTTTTAAAAAATTATTTAAAATTATTTAATTATTTATTAAAATAACTTTTATTATTGTATTTATGATTACAAATCAATACATTTGATTTCATTCAATTCATTTAAAAATATTTTTCTTCTAAAAATTGAAATTTCTTCGAAAATCTTGAATAAAACAAAAATATTGCAATTTTATTTTTTCAAAGGGATAATTCATAATTCTGAAAAGAATTATTTTAAAAAAAAAAAACTTTTAGGTCATTAATATCAAAAGGATTAGAGAATAAAGTTATTAATAAGAGACGAATGGAAGTAAAATGAATGAAGGTCAAATTAAATACACTGTATTTGGAAAAATATAGCCATTCAATTTCTTCAACAGCAATTTAACTATAGAAAACTTGAGAACTTTTCGAAAGCGAGCTATTTGGAAACAGAAATGGTGTGAGGATAAATCATAAACATCAACCGGAATTATCGAACTAGCAAACACCATGCGGAATCATTGAGCTAGCAGTGATGTTATGTGAGGATAAATCATAAACATCAACCGGAATCATCGAACTAGTAATGATTATGCGAGTAAATCTTGAACCGAAATCATCGAACTAGCAATGATATCATGTGCGAGTAAATCTTGAACACCATGCGGAATTATCGAACTAGCCATGACCTCATGCACTATAATACCATAGGTGAATGTCACGATTAAAAATCAAGAAAGCACGAGAAAATGAAAATAAATGGAACTAGTGATTTAATGAATAATTATTTGTTTAATTAGTTCTAACTTTCTAACTTTCTTTTCTCGAAACCTGATTAACTTCTGATATCTCTCAATTGTTCTCAAAGAACTAGTTCCATTAAAGCAAATTGTGACTTTTAGTTTTTCTTTTTTATGCTAACACTTAAGGGAATATTTGATAACGTTTATTTATCAATTTCAACTCTGTCAAATTTTTTTTATTTATTTCTTGTCAAAATTTTTTTATTTTACTAATATTCTTTTTTTCTACGGATTTTCGTTCAAAAAAAATTTAATTTTCGTTTAAAAAATTTTTGAATAACTAAGAACATAAAATAATGATGTTAATTAATATCATTATTTATGTTTTAAAACTAATATTCATCTTAAATTTTTTAAATAATAGTTTTTACATATTTATTATCAGTTCTTATCAATTATTTGGTGATATTAGCGCTTGCCACTTCCGATAGAAGCATAGATGGAGCACCATTATCACTCAGATCTTTTAATAGCAATTTCAATTTTTTAATGAAATTCCATGCTTGGATCGAACTGCAATGCTTAATATAATTTTAATAATATAATCCAAGCAAAAACTCGGTCAAGAAATATAATGCAAATTTTTACAAATTTCGATATTTCGATATTTAATCTCTTCAATAAAAAATAATCGTAAAGCGAAACTTGAAATACTTGAAAAACTAATACCTTAATATCTTTTATTAAGGCATTTTATGCCTTAATATTAATATCTTTTGTAGCATTAGCAATTTTTATTTTCCGAATTTTTGTCATGCATTTCAAATAAATTATTTTTAATTGACTCGTTATATAGTTCAATAATTTTTGGGGACAGGATGGCTTAGTGGGTTGTTGCCCAATTCGGAGCGCCGATACTAAGGTTCTATTTTCAGCAGGGGTCCAAAAATTCGGATGATGCTAGCGACTCACCTATATTTCTATCACCAAGGGATTTCCTGGCATATTTGCCCGGAGCGACAAACCCAGTAATAGTACGAAAAAAATGGTGTGTATATGTCAGAAGTTTAATAATGTTTATTTGTGGATTATTATGTTTAATTCAAGACTATAATCCATAAAAAAAACATATAGCAAGTAAGATTTGTGAATTAAAAGGTCACGACAAGTCAAATTTATTAACTGAAAAGCCACATCATGACAGATTTACAAACGGATAGGCTATACGTAATTAAGCATAAACAATGAAATTCAAGACAATTTTCGAAAAATGAATCTGAAGTTTGATCAGTGAAAATTTTTTTCAAGAAAAAAAATCTCGTAGCTAAAAAAAAAATTCAAAATTCATTCATCGTCAACAAAATTTCTATCGTTAGTTATTAATTTTTAATTAATTGATTAATTTTTTTAATTGCAAAATTTGCAAAATTTCGAATTTTGTTTAAAATTTTTTTCATTTTTCATTATAAAAAAAGAAAAAAAAAAGAAAAATTTACCAACAAATTTTTTGCAGTTTTATAAATACTAAGAAAAATAATATATAACGCGTACGATCTTTGACGCCGTTGAAAATTTTGTTTTTTCTAATTTTTTTTTTAAGTTTGACTTAAATTTTATTATTATTCGAGAAATATTACTACATAATGGCAATACTGCTTATTGCGTTTTCTTATGATATGCCTAATTTTCAGCAATTAATTCTCCTCCATAAGCATTTTTCATATTCAACATTGATATTTTTCCGTGATTATAACCATTTTCATCTTTTTTTTTTCCATAGCAAGAGATGAAAATGAATGAAATGAATTTCCCTGCAATTCCATTCATGGTGCTCATTATTTCTATTCGACTGGTTCCATCGACCAATCTTTTTTTCTTTCAAAAGTTTGCACCATTAATGGTTCAAATCGCTTCGCTGGCTTGTCGCAATGGACAAATATACCAGAGAGTCCTTTGGCGATAAAAATACAAGTAAATTGCCAGTATCACTCGGATTTTTGGACAGGCTTATTCCTGCTGGGAATATAACCTTAGTATCAGCGCTCCGGACTGAGCAATAACCTATTAAGACATCCTATAAATCGACCAATATATATATGCTGAAATTTTTAAGCCGAGAAAGTCACCTAAAGTTAGGTAAATATTTGAGTTTTTGAATATTACTTTCTCGATCAACAATAGTCAAATTAATCAACACAATACGAGTAGCAGAAATTCGAGTAAAAATTATTTTCATTTCAACTATTCATTCATTAGAAAATTTTTAAAAAAATTCGTATTTTTCAATATATTTTATTGCCCAGAAATTTTCATCGTTCACTACTCGATGATATTTTTTATTCTATCGGGAAACTTTTCCAATAATTCAATAATAACAAACATTTGTTCAAAACTCGGATTCCTTTTGGAAATTTTTATTATTTTATTTATTCTACAAAATAAATATATACAATAGTTGTGATTCCTCTTAAAAGTTTGCGATTTTGTTTTATTAATTTCGCCTCATTTATTTCTATAGTTATTTGTTTCATTATTTATTATTATTGTTAATATTATTGTTATTCATTACTGATAATTTATTTTGTTTGTTGTAATTTATTGTAATCGAAGTGATATTAAATTCATATTTTGAAGAATTTAAATGAATGAAAAGACAAAATTGAAAGCAAAAAAAATTAATATAAATATTTATTTGAAATACTAAATATTAAAAATGATTCAATTGCTATTTTAAATTATAAATTATAAAAAATAATTAAAATGATATTTGCAATTATTTAAAAGAATAAAAAATTCGAATACAAAATTCGAATACAATAAATAAAAATGAAAAACTAAAAATGGAGGAGAATTAGCCTATTTTGCAAATTCGAAAATTCATATTTATTCATTCAATTCGTTCTGACTCGATTCATTTTGCTATATTTTTGAAAAATTTTTTATACTATTCTAATTTAATTAAGATGAATATCCTGGCGGATAACTTCATACTTGGAACTGATTACAATAATAATGAGAATGCATTATTGATGGGTGATTATTGTTTGTACTCAGACGAAGTTGGAATATGTGAAGCTACGGCTCCTACTACACCACCAGCAATTGCTAAGTTATTTTTGCCTATTTCATTCTATGTTAAAAACTTCCCCGTGAAAAAAAAAAACACGTTTAAAATCTTTTCGTCATTCATTCAAGGCAAACCATTCAAAAAATTAATGTTAGATGAACGGTTTGCATAATTCCTATTTTGTATTTTAGATTTTTATTCTTAAATATGCAAATACAAAATATATTTTTTATTATTATTACCGAGCATAAACAATAAATATAAAATGTATTTATATTTATTTATAAAATATATTTATAAATATAAAAATAAATATTTTTTTTAGACATAATACTTTGCTTATTTGTTTTTGTTATCTTTTATTTATTTTCATATTTATTACAGTTGTAAACGATCCACTTCATTAAATTCTGCATTGAAAAAGAATGGTATTCGTGGTGATAAAAAAGTAGTGCAGTTCGCTGATGCTCTTGGTCTTGACTTGGTTCAGGTTCGACCTTTCGAAACCTCTGAAGCAGACGATGGCATATTCGGTACGACACCACCCTTATGTGTACGGGGGTTAGTTAAATTACCTTTTAGTATTTTTCCTTTATTTCTTAAACGAATTAAAGCTTATCATTAAAAATCAAATGATGATGATCTACTTATTTCATATTTGAAATCAGTATCTAAATCATATCTAAATATCTAAAACATAAATATCTAAAACATCTTATCTTTTGAACCTCGTCTAGAGACTAGAAGCTTGAAATTTTGCATAGTATCTTATCTATCTCTCTTACACTTTTTTTAGACAGAGATCTCTATTATTCCTGAATTTATTAAAGCCACTTTACCAGTTCAGGAATACCTAGTGCTCCTACTAACACTGGAACCACTTTGGGCTTTTTCATATCTTCTCTAATTTCTCTTTCCGCTCCTGGTATTTCTTTAACTCTTCTCATTTTCTTTTTTTCTGATATTCCTGTCACTTGACATTTCTATCTATATCACCAGTGCTTTGGTTCTTGTCTGCAATTTCGATTATATTTATATATTCAATTTTTTGTTTCTACCAAGTTGCTTTAAGAAATCTGGTGAACTTTATTAAGATTTGACTCACTCTTCCTATCATCGATGCCAGTTAAACGAAAATTTGCGGTCCCCTCAATAACGCAGCCAGCATTTTCGACTTATTTGCAAATTCGTTTCAAATTAGCTGGTGAAGAGCAGCCATGGCAAGACAGTCAGTATATCGCTAAAGAACTTGGACAAAAAGTCGAACGAAATGGTGTTTCTCTAAAATCGGTGAACACAATCGGAACAACTATCAATGGCGTTATTGCGGTGATGAACTACAGTTACAAAAAGCATGTAAATATTTGAATAATTCTATATTTAAAGACACAAAATCATTTAGAATGCTATAAAAAATTAGGCCTATCAAATAAATATTTTTCTATTTCATGATATCTTTAAATATTTAGGTAAATATACGATACACTACTGACGATTGGATAAGTTTTTCCGAAATACCTTCGTTATATATTGGTGGAGCCCTTGGAGGACGCATTGATCAGTTTTCTTTTTCGATCTATTTACCTGCATGTTTTCAAGTTGGAAAAAAATGCGAATTTTGTGTCAGGTAGATTTATTTAGTTTTTTTTAAGCCACAATTTCAGTCTTTTTTTTATTTTTTGCAGATATATAACTGATCAAAGAGAATGTTGGGATAATAATGCGGGGCAAAATTATATCGTAGAATGTAAAAGAATGCAACATGGATTTGGCGAAAGTGATTGAATGAATGAATGACTATTTTTTTAGCCATTTTTTTTTGGCTATTTTTTGAAGATTCGAATAAAGGTTCATTGCTGAATCTTATTTGTAAATTATATATTTGTCTTGTAAATTATTAGTTAGCATCATTGTTCGACGATATTTTTTTTTATTGAAAACGGTGACTTTTTAATTGTTTTGGTTTTGATTTCGTTTATTCCTTGTTTTTTTTTGCTTATATTTTCAACGAAGAACAAATTTTGTTAATATAAAGTCGAAATTTTTTTTTTTCCACATATTCTGCAGTTTTTTAAGAACTAAAGCTTATAATAAATACCGATCATAAAAGAGAAAATTTTGTGGGTATTTTTAAAATAAAGCAAAATTATGTTTTGCCTTTTAATTTTATAAAGGCTATTATTGTTATAATAATGATAAATTATTTTAATAATGATAAATTGTTATCATTTATTTATCATTTATAAATGAGCCATTAAAATTTCATGTTAATAATTTGGTTCGCTATTTTTTTTGCAATCTGTCATCATGACATTATCAAATAATAACTGTGGTCTTTTTTTTTACCGTTTATTTTGTTTTTTCCGATGTTATTTTCATTTTTCTTCGCAATAATTTAAATATATTTGCGGGTATTTGTGTGAATATTTGAACTAAAAAAATATTTTTTGTTATCGTTTCGTGCATTAGCGTACGCGAAATACAACACTATAAGTACTTATTATTTTTATATTTTTTACTGGTGAATCAAATTAGCATGAATGAATTGTTATCATTTATTTATCATCAATCAAATTAGCGTTGGAAAAAACTTTGGTTCATTTTAAAAATCCAAAGGACCAAATAAAATAAAAGTAAATCGTAAGTAAAAGTAGCTAAAATAGTAAACAATGTTGATTTTTAGCTGGAAATAATCAAGTAATCTATTCTAAAAAATTTTTTACCATTGTTGCGGAAAATGCGAAGTAATATGGAATTACTTGGTGACTTAAAATTGTGCACCAATGGAATTGTGCTTTTTTCAACTTAATTAAGCGAATTCTATAACAGAACGAAAAGTGCATTAACGGAATAATAAATATATTGGCACCTACTAATGCCAAATTTTTAAAATATTTTTTAAAATAAAAAATATTCTCAATTCCGAAATTTTCATCGCATAGTGTTATAATTTTGGATATTTTTCGGATTTAATGGATTTTATGCGGGAGATTTTGTATCAAAGCTATTCATCACTAGTTTCAGAGCTTCTCAACAGTACTATGATATTATGTTCTACCTTAACATTATGTATGGCTTATATACAAGAAGTTAATAAAATAAATACCTTACCTCCTTTTATGAACTTATCGCCGCCTGAGAAAATGCCTTGGATCCATTCTAATAACGAATGGCCAGGCAGAAGATGAAATCCAGATAAAGGCAGCTAGAAATGCATTCTTCCGGTTGACGAAATCTATTCAGCTGCGATTAGTTCAATTTTGTTATATGGCTGTGAGGTATAGCCAGTGAAAATGAAGGATATTTAGAAGTTATATACCTTTGACTACTCATATCTAAGATATATTTTACGAGTTCGCCAAGTGGATCAAATCTCACATCCATCTTTATTCAAATTCCACTTGCCACCATTAATAATATCATAATATAGCGTCGCCTTCGCTGGTTAGGGTACGTTCTTCGTCGCTCATCACAGCTGGCATATATTTCGTTACTTGCTAGACTCTGTGATGTGTGGTTTTAAAAGCAAGTAAGTCAAGCAAGACCCGTATCTATAAGGTCAGAAAAATTTTTGAACATAGACCAGAAATATATGGACTTAGACGATGGGAAAAGGAATAGCTCCTATTACTATTGACGATGATATAAGATCGCGCAGCTTAGAAATGTCTTATCCCTATAACCAGTGGAGCCAGTAACTGTGTTAGAAGACAGAGAAGATATTATATATGTAGGAAGATATTAAGGATCAATATGAGCAAATGAACCACTGCTTACACTAAATTTTGTAGGTTTGGAAAACAATTTGTTCGAGAAACTTGGAACTAATTTTTCAAGTTTTCCAAATAAAATTTATATTTTCATTAAGATTAATAATTTGAAGCGATGAAAAAAAGGCGAAATTTTTGCGACTACTGCAATTAATAGTAATAATGATAAATTTTCATAAATAATTTTATTAATTTTCATAATTTTCATAAATTTTGCTTATTTCGCCGACTTTTAGAAATTTTCAACAGTGTTAAATAAGCCGAATTTGCTGCGTGCAATTTGCTTCACTAGAATCTCATCATCACTCGATTTCTCGAAAAACCTTGAAAAATGAAAAATGCTTAGTGAAAAATGCGTAGGTGATATAAAGATTAGTTTATCTCAAAGAAAATCTCATGTAAAAAATTTACTTTTAAATGCGAATTAATATTTGCAAATGCGTTATGTAAACTCGCATCTGAATTTTTATTTTTTATATTTTATATAGTAATAGTTAAGCAGTAATAAAATATTATATACGTAGGCAATATAGGCGAATGAACCATTGCTTGCACTAAATTTTGCTGGCAAACTGTTTGTTTGAGGAACCAATTTTTCAAATGGCCAAATTTTCCAAATAAAATTTATAGAATTAATAAAATTTAATTTGAAAAATAAATAAATAAGTTATTTTTATAATTTACTAGAGCTCGAAAAACTGAATAATCAAAGGACATTTTTTAAAATGTAAAATTTAATTTTAACCTTCTTAGAAAGATAAGCTCGGAGAAGCATTCCAAAACTTTGCAATCTCTATAAAGTGTGGACTTCGCTGTAGACTTTTGATTTAATTTTTAAATCTCCATAGAAGCCTTTTAATGTTCAAGCGAAAGGGCATTTTAAAGGCATTATCATATTTTTGCTTGTTATAAAAAACAGTAAATTAATTATTAAATTAAATAAATAATAAATAATTAAATAAATAATAATAATTAAATAAATATTAATTAAATATTAATAATTAAATTATTATCAATTAAGCAAATTATTAAATTATAAAACAATGCTTTGGTATGCTTTCTAGTTAAGCTAGTCTCTTTGCCATTGAACTATGCTAACAGTTTTTGCCAGAGTGATTTAAAATCACCGATATCAAAATAAACGAACTATTTGGGCTCATTAAAAGAAAATAATATAAAATAATATTATCCTCGAAAATTCTTCATTTTGCAATAGTATTTCTGGCTTCATTGCCTGTAATTGTAATGGCTATTAGGATCGTTTCACCAGAGAGTCATTTAAAAATAAAAACGCGAGTCTAAGTGAGTCTCTAGCTAGATTTCTTCTTTAATAATATTAAGCACTTACTACTAAAAAAAGGAATGGAACTTCGAAAATAATTTTTAAATGACAGCAAATTATCTACTTTTTTCACTATTTTCTTATTTTGTAATCATCTTATCTCTTTGAAAGAAATAAAAATATTCTATAAACGAATAGCTTATAAAAACCAAACAATCCATAAATAAATAAATTTACTTCTGTTTGCCTAAAGGTATATTGCATAACGCATTTAATTAGTTTTTCATCATCACTAATATCGGAAAAATTATTTCTTTTATTTTTATTGCAAACTTGGCAAGAATTTTATTAGCAAGTTTTTAGAACCAATAATATTATATATGCCATTTATATTTCCTTTTAAAAACTATGCATATGGTTTTTTAGCTCAAAAAAAGTTTTCTCATTCATCGTAATGGCTTATTATCGTTTTATTCGAAAAAAAAAAGTGAGATGAAAATTTAATTTAATTGAATATTTTTATATAAAATAAAACAAAAAATTTTCACTTTCAAATAATATAAAAACTATTTATTTATATTTCGGTAAATTAGCTTAAAAAAAATTGATTCGAAAAGTGTGATACGCGATTTGACACATCTTTATAATCAAATCATAGCAAATATGAATATTATCATCTCAAAGAAATTTTATTAGAATTCTTTAGATAATCACTAATTTGAATATTCAAATATTAGCAAAAATTTCTTAACAACCAATAGAAATAGAACGAATCTTATTTGAAATGGTGAACCATCCATTTTATTTATTTGCTAAAAAATTAAAAAAAAAATTCATGCCAAATATTTGAACTAAAACAATATTGATTCAATCCAGAAGCTTAAATTTTTTCATTTTTACCGTAATTGAAAATCTTTGATTTTTTTTTTTTAGCACACAAATTTAAAAGTTCTATGAAATATTCGAATATTCAAATAAATCTGCTTTTTTTTACATATCGCATTTTACTTTATACTTTATAGAATTCCCCTCATATAAACCATTTGAGTCCGAAAGAATGTAATTTAATTTCAACCATATTTTTCAATATTGATTCTTTGTAAAAAAAAAAAAAAACATTAATATAATTAGTTCAGCGATGCAGAATTGGTTAACTCAATTCTGATCTATCTTACTTTGATAGTTTTCACATTTTTTCATTGGTACCGCTTCTTTCAACATTGTAACAGTTTTCGCCTGCAAATGTAATGTTACATTTTTCTTAGCATAACTTTTCATTTTTTTTTACATGAATATCATCATCTCAAAGAAATTTTAATAGAGTTGGTTAGATAATCACTACTTTGAAATGATTATTTGTTTAAAAGATTTTCGATAAGTTTATATGATAAGGCAGTATAAAGATATTATCATATCTCTTCTTATCATCAATCAATAATTCAGTCAGAGAAGTTGTCGAGAGTTTTGTTAGAAATTTTTACCAAAAGTGATAGAATTATCGATGGATCGTCAGCACGAATTGAATTCATTAATAAAAAATTTAATTCTGACCGAGGTTGGAGTAGAAACGTTTCCTCTCATTGCTTTAATTAATCTAACCCAATGTCCATTCAGTTCTTTGGCTGCTAGTAATAATCATTAAATGGCAACGTTTAACGAATTGTATAAATTAAAAAATAAAAAGTTTGCGGAGTTTGCGGATAGATTTTGCCTTAAAGATATTTTAGTAACGAGGAAATATACTAATAAATTTTAAACAATTTTTAGTTTCAATTAATTCTTTCATAATTATCTTTGATAATGATAATGAGCATTGTAAATAATTAAGAATTATCTAACTAAATTAGTAAATTTTTTTTTTTGATTTTCGCTCTTTTTTATTGCTCATTACAAAAACAATCGCTTATTTAAAAAAATTTATAGGTCAAGTTTATAGGCCAAATTTATAGGCCGATGATATTATGATATGATTTACGAGCATTCGCATCATTAAATTGAAATTTATATCAATATTATTTTTATTTTTTATTTTTTGATGAAATAGTCAATTAATTTCAATTTTCCATAATTGTAATTAACTTATAGGTTCTTTTAATCCTTTACAAATTCCTGCTTATCAATTCAGATTTACCTACTTTTTTTTTCAGAATTTCTACAACAATCAATCAAAAATATTATTTAAGCAAAGCGTTATCACAATTTCAGAAATCAGAAATCAGCAATGTTTTTCTTGCATTTACATCAATAAAAAAAGTATTTTTTGTTTCCATGGACGTTCTTAGAATTTTTTTTGCTACTTTCTTAAATTTTGAACTTTGAACTCCAATTTCTCTAAAATTACAACGAAATTTTTTCTTGAAATAATAAAAATTCGTTGAATTTTTTTCTTAAAAATTTAAAATTTTGCAAACAAGTAAAAAAAATTTTTTGGGCTCACATCTAATTTGACTTGATTTGCTAAATTTTTCTGTTGTTAAGAAAAAAAAAATTAAATTAATTAAACAAATTCACTAACATTCTTATCAAAATTTAAATGAAATTATTTTAAAAAAATACATAACAATTATCTGAATTGTCTATCAATTCCGCTGAAAACCCATCGTTTAAATGATTTCAAAGATTTCTAAGATCATAAAAATTTAATAAATTTTTTTAATTGGAATAAGATGAATATAAATTTAGTAAATTTTTATTACTGACGATAGTTTTTGTAAAAAAAATTTCTTTCAAAAATTTTTTTTTGAAAAATATTCATAAACGTTGGATGAAAAATATCTATTATAAAATCTACGCATAAAATATTCGTTATCAATCAAAGTAATGTTTGAAAATATTGGCAATTTTCTATCTTTAAAAATTTATGATAATTTCTCTCATTCTTCCAACGTCTATGATTTTTAGAACAATTTTAATGCAATTCTTAAATTTTTTCACTCAACGAATTTTTAAAAAATTCCTTAATTAAAATTTTCTTTCATTTGCAATTCCTTAAAAAAATAGATACAACAATATATAATGAATATTTTCATAAAATTATCATATCATGGCTTATTGATGATGATGAGACCAGCAATAAATATAAAATAAAAATGAAATTGAAGTCATGAAGAAAGTCCTTCGTACAAAGATAGGGCATGCACGATTGATGGATCAGCTTTCGCACCTTCTTTAAATTCTTCTAAGGTCAGCTGAGCATCATTGTTCTGCAAAATGAATAATCTGATTATCTGATAAGATTTTAGGCAAAAAAAGTGAATTTATTGCCTTTTTAAATATAGGCAAATTAAGCATTCAAAGAGAGCCTTAAAAGAGAAAAAGCATAAACGAAGAATATTGCATATCGATGTCTGTCAGCTATAAATAAGCCCTTATTCGATTCATTATTCTGATGTAATAAACCATTTTTTTTGTATAGAAATTTAAAAACTAAAAAAAAAATGACAAAACCTTAGAAAGGCGAGAAAAATTTATTGACTGAAGAAAATTTTTTTATTTGATTTTTCTTTTTTTGGCGTTAAATTTGAAATTTCGACAAAATTTGAAATTTTTTCAAAAATTCCTTTTCCTAATTAGAAAATATAAGTATTCTTACATACCAAAAATTTTTTTTATTCAGTACTAAGTTGCTCATTTTTTATTTAAATTTAGGCACAAAAACTATAGGTATTAAATTTAGGTATAAAAACTAGCGAAAAATAGGTATCGAAAATTATATAAAAACGAGGATCCTCGGAAAAAAAATTTATGAACCAATTTGCATAGTTCTTTTAAATTAATATGAAAATATGTCAAAATTGCTAATTTGATTAAAAAATTATCAATTCTATAACCATTAATTATCAAAATTATGTGAGAGAAAAAATCACTTAACTTATTTGAAAAGTTCTTTTCTTCTAAAAGTGAAATCTCAATTAACCGATAGTCATAGTCATTTCATGCGGAGACCAAATCAAGCAAAAAAGTTCCTATGAAGCCTTTTATTTAAATTAATATTAGGCATACTTCTAAAAAAGAAAAATAAAAGCAGTCAAAGAATAAAATTTTCAATTAATCTTAATTTTTTTTTTGCGCATATTAAATTAAGTATATCAATCGCTTTCATTTATCCAGTTAATTAATATTTATCAACTTTCAAATAATCAGCCTACCTTATCCATCATTCGAAAAATTCGATCAACTCGCTTTTCAGGTGTATTCTCATCTTCGGGCAATTTAACTGTTGAACCGACCATTTTATAAATACTTCCCACAATTGAAAGCATCTCATCACGTGTGATAAAACCATCGTTATCAAGATCGTATAGTTTAAAAGCCCCTAAAAATGAATTTTTGATTATTTATTTAAGAGCGAACTGAAGATGAAAGCATTTAAAGCTTCTAAAAAAAATATAATATTTTTATAATATAATATTTATTTTAGTCATTTCTCTTTTATTATAAACATTAAAAAAAAAACGATGATAAAAGCATAAAAATTCATATAGACAAATTTTATAAATAAATAAGTAAATTTTCGTCAATGTAGCTGAAAAAATCATAATTTGTCTGATAAGACATGTATATCATTTCATTGTTCATCAAAAATATTTTTTCTAAAAATAAAATATGAATTTACGTGAAAGAAAGAGTTACAGTGTAATTTTTCATCGAGATTCCCTCGAGAAGTTATTGATAATGCCCTTATGAATTCGTGAAACTCGATAGCTCCATCCTAAAAAAAAATAAGGAAATATTTTTATTTAATATAAAATTTGCATAAAAATTTGCATTTTATAAATTTTCCAAGTTTATAAAAGTATAATTAAAAATTCTAAAAAGAAAACAAAACAAACGCTTATTAAATCTTATGAAATCAGAATTGCCTTCTACATTCATACTTTTAATTTTTTTATCAATCAAAATTTTGCCATCGATCGCATATGTCAGAATTATGGAATTCTTATGTGATAGATTTTTTAAAATTTTATTTCATTTATTAAATATATATATATATGCATTGTAATAAATAATTTCTCGAGCGACAAGTAATGAATAACTTCATGGTAGACCTTATTTTCATCAAATACTTTAAATACGAACGACGCGAAATCCGATGGATCGCCTTGAGGAAAAAACTGTTTATAAATTTTTTGAAATCCCTAAAATAGCGAAAACTTAATATTTTTTGCAAAAAAAAGTAATAGTGCAAAAAATGAAAAAAATTGAAAAATGATGAAATAAAAAGCAACAATTTCAAATCAACTTTTTAGAGAAATTCTTAAAAGATTTCTGATTAAACATGCTCTATTGGCTATTGGCTGTTAGCACCTTTTCACCAAAGAGTCACTTGCGGATAGAAAAAAGTGCGCTTTGGTCCACTACAATTCGAATTTCTCTTTTAATGCGAAGCAAGAAACCCCAAAGGCATGGGTTCGAATAAATACTTGAACACGGATTGCTTGAGTCTAAGCTATACAATCTAAGTCCAATTCACCACTAAATTCAATAAATTTGATTAAAATTGAACTTACTGCTTCAGTGAGCATGCCATTTGGGCAATCGCGTACGAAACCTTTATACCTAAAAAAATTTTTTCTTAAAATTTTAAAGCTAGAAATAATTTGCTTGAAATGCTCTATATTCACTTTTACAGGATTATTCGCATATTGCATTCTATTTGACATGCCAATGCAAAAAAAAAAAAAAATTATCAAGAAAATTTTTTTGAAAATTCACCGCCAATCAATAAAACTTATAAATAATAAATGAATTAAGATAAAATAAAAAATATATTTATTTATTTCAAAATATATTTATTTTGAAATTTTATAAAATTTCAAAAATCAACTCACCATTGTTTGATTTCTTTTTCGGTAACTGAAAATTAAAAAGTGAATTTGATAAAAATTGAGAAACAATTTAGAAAACGATCAAACTAACTAGTCATATATCAGCTGAATAGTTATGTTTCGTAATATTCAATTAATTTAATTAATCAACTTTTCTAGAATCGAATACTTGGAAAAATAGGCTCAATGAATGACAATAATAATGATAATGATAATGACTGATTCATTGGGCCATAGACAAAGAACATATATGAATTTTTATTAGAATTTTCCTTATAAATATAAACAAAGCTTTATATAGATAGAAATGAGGATATAAAATTCGATTTATTTTAAGCTTATGTTTCGTAAAAGATAATAATGTTAAAATTCATTATCATTAATTATCATTTTATCATTGACTTGATCTTTTCGATCTCCTAATAGCAATTAACAAATAATCAAAGATTCAATCCGAGTTGTTATGAGAATCAATTTTGTATTTCTATCGTTCAATATGAAGAAACTGGCGAGAAAATTAAAAAATATTTAGTTAATAATTACAATAATTTATATCAATTTTATATTTTAATCAATCAAATTGATCAAACAAACAACGAATAATTAATTTGATTATTGAATTTTTTCAATAAATTCTTTGGTAGTATAAACAATATTATTTTATAGCGAAAAAAGAAAGAAATTTCGAAACTAGACGAGAATACTTATTAAAAACTAACAGTATGTCTGTTTAGCGAGACTTTTTAATTGATCGCTCTTAAGCTTGCTATTCGGCTTTCCCATGACGCATTTGTCGCGAGTCTAATTGTTGAATAGTTCAGAAATAAAAAATGAATTAAAAATTCATAACAGATCAACTATAGTACAGCGAAAAATTACTGAAAAGAATACTGTAAAAAAAAATTCTTTTAACAATTAAATTAATTTTCACGAAATTAGTGGTTTAAATAAAAAAAAAAATGGCTAAAAAATGATTCGAAATTTGTGAAAATTTTTCATAAATTTCGCGAATAATAAAATGCAAAAAATATTAATAATATTAATATTAATATTTTAAAAAATCTGAAAAAATATTTAAGAAAATAGATAATATAAAAAATCGCTCATAATTTATTTACTTACTAATAGTTAATCATATTTAATAATTCATTATAATCTTATCCAACTAAAAAATTTAAATAATTGATAACGACAATGAATGACAAATATCGCAACAAAATTCAATGAATATTTATTATTTTATTATTTTAAACTTATTTTAATTTTTCATATTTTTCATATTTTCATATTTTGCATACGCTGAAAGAACTGAAAGAATTGACGAAATGAAATGTTATTCATAATATTATCGTTATATTTTCTATGAAAATAATCACAAAATGGATTTAGAATATCAAAAAAAATAAGGGAAAAAATAAGGGAACAATAACTAAACAAAGCTGGCATCTTTTTTCTTCTGATAGCTCTCATCATTACTGGTTAGGCTGGTTTCGCTGGCCTGGCTAGAATGGTACCTTCAAGCTGTTCGGATCGACGCCACTGCTAATAGTAATAGAAGTCTTCCTTTTTCCATCGTCTAAGTCCATATATTGCAGCTATACAGGTCATTGAATTGTGCCGATCATCGATTATTCAAATGTACAATTGAAAACATATAACGATTGAAATTTCTATTTAATTAAAAAAATTATTTCAGCGACTTTTCAATCGCCAGTAAAAAATTATTCCTAGGATAGATTTCTATTATTCAGTAGCACTGCCAGAAAACGAATTTATACAATACAGTATAAAAACAAAAAACTGTAGGGACGATAAACAAAAAGATAAATACAAATGAAAACACGAAGAACGGCTAAGGAGAATCAATATGAGCTAAAAACTGAAAATAAGATTTTTCGGAATCCGGAGAGATACTTTGTTAATTTGTTCACAAATCAAAGTGATGGGCAGAATTTCGTGCGAGTTGTCTGGAGAATATGAAGTTCCTATAAGTATTATTCCCATATAAAAGAATAGATCACTCGCACTTCTTTCTGTCGCAAATGCTGGAAAAAAAAATTAAGAATAAAATATGCTAAGAGAATAATTACAGAGAAAAAAAATAACATGATATTCTAATAGAAACTAAAATCGTTGGTCATTTCTGGTTAGGCTCGTCCTATTCGCTATAAGTGCGATTGGAAGTCTTTTTCCAGAAAGTGCTAAATATGCAAGTGGATCGTTAGTATAATCGGAATTTTTTAATGGATGTTTCAAAATCGAATCCTTAATGCTTAAGGCGATATTCTTGGCTACTTTTGCCATATTGTATGCCATATAAATGCCATCTTTTGCCAATAAAATGATTAAGTTTTCTAAAAACAAAACGATAGGCATGATAAAAATATATATATATATAAATAATAAAAATATTTAAAATACGATTAATTAAGTATTTGAAAGTATTTAGAAAATTTAGAAAACGCTTTAGGGGGTTGAAAAAAGTTTATAAACGAGAAGAACAATGTAAAAAAGAAAAAAAATTCAAATCGATTAATGGGGTTTGATTTCTCAAAGAATTTTTGCTAAATTAATATCAAAAATTATAATTAAAATGAAAATTAAATTTTATAAACGCTACTATTTTATGCGATATAATGAGAACATTATAGAAAATCGAATTTCTTAACAAATAATTACGAATCGACCGATGAACTTTTCCTAGAAACCATATCTTTAAGAGCTAGATTTGAATGGTACTTAATTGAATGGTACTTGAATGGTACTATTGGTGCTGTTTTTAATTCTATTTTTTGAAGTCATCGTCGAAGTATTCAATTAATCTTCAAATTATACATCACTAAGTCGTTGTATTTTTAAATATATGACAAACCAAAGTCAGCTCACCAAATCACACCTCATCAGAATTAGTATTTTTTAAAATTAGGTGTGAATTTACATTCTTAAATCTCAACCTGAGGAGATTTAATTTGCCTAGAATAGCCTAGAAATCACGGCATTCTTGACAAATCTCATTAGATATTTCATAAAATCAATCAATCGTTTATTTTTCAATATATGATTCTCAAGCATTGCAATCGGTTTTTCTAAAAGATTTTATGGAAACCTTAATTCTTGCTGGTCTTTGCATAGAATAAATCATCAACATTATTGGATATGGTCAATACTTAAAGGCAGACATTGTAGGCGATATGCGATTATCAAAATTGAAGCGAAGAGAAACGGCGATTAGAATTAATTTTCAAAAAAAAAGTGGAAATAATTAAAAGCCTTCTGGGCAAATAAATTTTGGCAAAGAGGCAAAAATGAAACAAATTCGATTACCAACATATGATTTGTATTTAAAATTATGGAATTTATACAATAGCCATAAACAAAAAAAATTTTTTTCTAAAATTTTTATCATTGCCAATTAGACTTCCTCGGCTGTCGATTTTGCCAAATAGTCATTTGTCGATAGAAATACAGGTGAATCGCCAGCATACTCTGGATTTTTGAAAGTTTCTCCCTACCAGGCTTAGAGCATCAAAGTTGATATTTCAAACTGAGCTACAACCCATTCAGCCATCCTAATCTCTTTCGCTTTTGCAATTCGACGTTCAGCGTCAATATTGCCGTTCGATAAAACGTAGCGCTTCTTGCCGGATTCTAACTTAAGCTAATCTTGATTCTCGATGAGAATCATATCACTAAGTCACCGATGTTTTAAACAGGAAATAGCCACAAAAATAATGAAGAAAAAAAACAGTAGTCCAAAAATTGAAATGCAACATTCTTGTTGTCATAGCATAAAACTAAGATGAAAAATGAATTGCTCGTGCATATAAAATATCAATTCAACCATAAAATAGCATATTTTACTAAATAAACTTTCTTCTTTCAACTTTTAACTGCTATGCTATTGCTAGCCATTGTTCGCTATGCGGTGAGAGCAATACTGGAACATTTTGAATGGTAAGACGTTTCTAAAGCTGTCGATCCTAAGCCATTCATTCTGCAGCAAAAAGAAAATAAACTAAATGTGCAACATATATTATCATTTTTATCATATATCATATCATTTAATCATAAAATAGCAAATATTTAAGCGAAATTTAAAAGCGCATACATATAAAATGCCAATCATTGTAACATTGTTTCATTTTTTTGAGAAATTGAAGAAGTTCAAGCGGAAAACGCCAATATTTATTTATTCATATTTGATGATACTTTTTTAAATAATATTTTCCATTAATATTTCCACTGATTTAAGATGAAAAGGGCAAATTTCTTAAAAAATCGCATATGTTTTAATTTTTTTTTTTTTTGCTTAAATCTCATTTCGAATTCGATCTTCATGAATTTTGAAATTCATCTTTGAAATTTTATGTTTTAGTAAAGTCAATCCTATTTTTAATTTTATTCCGTTATTTACATCGATTTGCCAATGAATTTGCTATTAAATAATGGAAGTTTTATAAGAATTATCGATGAAATTTCTAATGAATCTCACATCAATATGCAAATCTTTTTATATGTCCATCATTTGCTGAAGTTTCAATTAAAAAATATGACAGGAGAAAAAATAAAAAACTCTATTTGATCGACAAATATATTCAGTAAATTTTATAAAGTTCAAAACGAATTAATTCTCGAAATGAATCATTTATAAGGGTTCAAATGCTAAATATCCTCAACAGGAATATATATCTGACATTAAAAAAAAAATCCAAGTGATACCGCCGAACAACAACTATTGTTAAGCGATAACGCAGAAAATAACGATAAGAGCTTAATCAGATATTAAAGCCTTACAATGAATCGCTATGGAAATCAAAAAGATTAGTGGATAATGA